CTTTCACATTCAAAAATCCGTGTGGTACGTCATTCCACGTGCGTAGACAGTCGTCTGTTTATAATTTGAGGCTTGTCTTCAGGGAACCTTTCTGCGAACACTCGTGTGCCTTCTACGTTTCGAAAATGCCATTATTTGCAAAAAAAAAGGGTATTTCGGCTTAAAAAACAAAAAAAAAATGAAAATTTTCGATGCGTCAAGGATTTGAGGGATCGATTTTACCACTGATATTATCGAACAACCTGCATTTAGCTTGAAAGTGGTATAAAATTATAGTAATAATTTCTTACTGCGCCTCAGCACATATTTAAGTGTTAACTGGTCGAGGGTTAATTTCAGGATTTGTCAAGCTATCAGCCAAAATATTTTTTGGACACGTATAACTAATATCTATCCTTGCATTTTGTTACTTTTACTAGCTATGCATGCTGCAACTTTTCCAGTTGCTTTGACCAGTGATGCATCACTTCCTAGCCAGCCTGCTGGCGATCCTAACGTTCGTTTTGTCGCCTGTTCGGATTACTAATTCAACGGTTCTGATAAAATATTTCTAAAATGTTCGTGTTTTTTGATATTCACCTTACTACAGTAACGGCAAGAACTAATGCGATATCCATTTAAATTAATGATCTGCTGAAGGATGTGCGAGATTGTACTGGGCGACGACCAATAGACGTATGTGATTGTGTTCCCAAGGATGATTATCAGAAGGTGGCGAAATTATTACGTGCCTGGAAACGACTCGATAAAATACAGGTATTCTCAGATGCCTATTCTGAAACAAATTTCCCAAAGAGGTTTTCTTTGCACGGGTCTAGTGCAGTACCTAGTTTGGCACTCAAGAGCTTTTCCTTCTTTGTCATGAAAGGCTTAAAACCTGCTTATTCGAGAAGTAGTGAAAAACATGAATTAAGCAAAAAAGTGAAGTATTTAACCGACTGCGAAGCATCAAATGTAACAAGAGCAGAGAGTTTCAAAATTAGCTTAGAAATATTAAATTACTCTAAAAACAAACACTTGGTCCTCAAATACTGGATTTTTTAGTATAGAAAGCTTTGTATTTGAAAAAAAAATAGTTCTGGCGGTCAAAAAAAAGGTGTGCCTTCTTTTTCCGGAAGCTGATTGT